TTTTCCAGCATTCCACGTAGCTAAACGCCGACAAACGAAATCTTTGAAATTTTGTACAATCGTGTTAACGGAGTCATGGTGTTCGTTCGTTACACAATCAAGAGCAAAAGCTCCAGAAAAGGCGAATAATGACACTATCTTTGCCCATGTTACACCAGATTTGAATATTTCATTGGCCACTTCTTGAAAGACCTCGCCTATAGCATTGTCAGTGAATTGAGTAACGTGAAGCCGGCGACATACGTCTTTGTAAACATTAGGGTGCATAACTTCTAACTGTCCCGCTGTCATTATCAGATAAATTGAAATGTCATTGAAATCTTCCAAATTTAAAGTGGAGCCATTTTTGTTTATAAGCTTTGTTGACGACAGTCTATAGTTAAGGTAGTCCTTGCACACTGTCACCGATTGCTCTGTAATCAAGGCTTCGTTGTTTACTTTGGCTTGCGTACGTCCTGATAGTTCCACGATAAAATTACTCGCTGCTTCTATGTACTGCATATTCCTCTATTTAGTAAACGTACACCGCACTCAGATTTTGGAAGTCGTCGGCCTTTCTTCGCTCTCTCCCTATTTTGTGTATGCAAAGCGTATGATGGTGTAAATGGTAATCATTAACGCCAAGTAAAACCGACCTCTGACCTGGCCGTTCACAAGGCCAGGCATTGTCCACAATGAATACCTCTTGACTGGAAACGTATTGCCTGCAGACAAGTTAAATGTGGCCGGCACACGAAACCGAAAACATCAGCTTAAAAGAGAACGTGTGACCTATGTAATTCAGGGGAAATTGAAGATGAATTCCATCTAATAATATCATGTCCAAAGTACAACAAAGAAAGACCTAGTGGAAAATATGACCAAACACATAAATAATTTCGATAACTTGACAGTTCATTGGTAATTTGTTTCTATAATGAGTCTTCGCAGTACACATAACAATACGACGCAACATCAACACCTCATAGTAGGAGTATAATTATAGATATATTGTAATGTATATTGATATTTTTATTTGCCAGTGAATCTTGTAATTTATAAATGTAACTGAATGTATCAGGTGTGATATTTATATCTGGCATTGACTGCACATAGCATTCAATTCATTATGCAATGCATTATACTAGTAGTTTAGACTAAATACTATTTATTTTATAGACATTACGCATATTTTCATAAGGATCATGGGTGAAGTGTGACCTCATAGACACTTTCGGGAAAAAATGAGAAAATATTGTTTTATCTATATTAAACTTCTAAAGCAAGATTTCAAATTAGTTGAAACTCGGATATATATATATATATATATATATATATATATATATATATATATATATATATATATATATATATATATATATATATATATATATATTTCTCAACGACTAAAATATTTATTTTACCTTTTTGGAAATTTCTTTATTTTTGTGTGTAACTACAACATTATAATCTATAATATTATAGTTATATACGAGTATATATGCACACTGGAAATTTTAACTAATTCTCATTACTATTTAACAATTTGCAAATGAAATTATTTTCACATATGTGGTGATGTCATATTTTCTTATGAAGCTCTTTCATTTGTATCATACGGTTGAAACTTAGTAAACATGTACAATTTGCATAATTGGTCTTACCGTGTACTTTGTACTTCTTACCAGCAGATTGTTCAAATCGATTGAAACTTTATATATGCTTACTCTTTGTATAGACGAATATATGATACGAGTTTATACCTGTATACGAATAACAACTACTTAATTTGCATACTAATCACCCTGCTCATCCTAATTTTGTCAAATGAATTGAAAATAGATACACAGTTCTCATATTTTTCATATCATATTCATGTTTTTTCCCATAAAATGTCGTTGATACATTCCGATAGAAACTTGTATTTCTAAAGATGCAATAAACTAGACTATCCATCAACACGCACACGCGCACAAGCTTGTAATACATACTCGTATTCATACCAACAGGTCATACTAGTAGTTCATACAATACAACATCTTGTTGATACAACATTTACTGTCACTGTTCGTGTTTTATCCGCGAGTTTTCTCTATTTCCCAAATAAAATGAATTTCCTCCGTGACCGTAACTAGGTCAGTATTTCGTTGTTGCCAAGTTAATACCACCGGCAAATGCGCTCCAGTATATAAACGCATTATTATAATGGCGGTGTTTTTAGAGCAGTCTAAGTGGTACGAACAATCACGTGACTGTCTCAATCAGATGACGAGAAGGAATCTGTCTGTCAGTCAGTCACACAGTACAGTCAGCCGGCGATTTGTAATATATGGCCGTATAGCGAAATTGAAGTTGCTATATTTTCGTGCGTACTTACATGCTGTGTTACAAGGATGCCTTCTGCGGATCACTCAGAGACAACGCCGTTGTTGCATTATCGGCTAATGTCTAGAAGCCATAGCGTTCAAAATGTTCAACAACCTCCAAGTCCTCGGCAGCTCCGAGCTTTTTCGGGCGTTTTTATACCCTGTGTATTGTCGATGTTTAGTGTCATATTATTTCTTCGTTTAGGTAAGTATTTATTATTATGCATGTCTTTTATTTGTCTCAAAAAGATACTAAACAACGCACAGTCTCGCGCAATTGAACTCGATTGTGAGTTTGAGTTGTGATGGGAATAGAGGTGGACTCGGAAGTCTGTGTCTTACCTTCTAAAATGGGTGCTGGTGTTCCGAGCTGAAAGCATACACGTTGTTTATACCCACTTCGGATTCGGAATATAGCTGGTACACATATACATAGATCGTATAGTATTTGAATAATAACATGACATCTCCCCCCTTTTCAAAAGTATCATTACTTCAACATAGTAAAATATTTAGCACAGTAAAACTCAGTAACTTTCAACAGTCATTACAGTAAAACTTTCGCAACTATTTGAACACAAACAATAACAGAATAGATCAGTGTCTTATCGATAAAGGAGTTCATATAACTGTTCGAAGATTATATGTCGAGTCTATCTGGTTGCTTTACTGCTCGGCCATATTGAGTACGAATCTCTGCCTTGGGATTCTCGATGGATACTTTGTTTGGAATAACGTGCCGGTTGTCTAATACATCCGTTGGTTTTGTAGACTCGTTAGTGGGTAATACAGGATTGCACGGTGATGCGCTGCTTGGTACAATTTAAATATGTCTTCGGTTGCGTCTCAGAGTGCTTGTGTTATTTTGCACTTTATACAATCGTGGTGTGTCGCATTTATTTACAATCGTTGTAGGTTCACTCCATTGCTTGTCATGTTCTGTTTTAACACGAACAATATCACCTGGCATCAGTTCGGGTAATGGTCATACTGAGTGTCTGCGATCGTAGTAATATTCATATTTGCGTTTAGCGCTTTGGTTGTTCAGCAATACTTGATTTGGATCAATTTCTTTGACTTCAGTGTGTCTATTCAATACTGGCAATGTTGTACGAATTTGTCGGTTTATCATTAATTCAGATGGGCTATACCCTGTAGCTTCAATCTTAGTAGCTCTGTAAGTCATTAAAGCTAGGGATGGGTCTTTCTGTTTCACAATTTGCTTGGCTGTCTGTACAACGCGCTCTATCATTCCATTCGCTTGTGGATATCGCGGGCTGGACGTAATGTGTGTGAATCCAAATATTCTAGCAAAGTTTCTAAATTTGTCAGAAGCGAATTAGGGACCATTGTCGCTGACTAATTCTTACGGTATGCCCCATTGTGCGAATATATTTTTCAATTTGGCAATTACTGCATTGCTCGTCGTTTCCGGCATGCACGCGACTTCTAGGTATCGCGTGTAGTAGTCGATCGTGGCGAGATAAGATTGACCCTCGAACGAAAATAAATCTGTCGCTAGGCGTGTCCATAGTGCTTCCGGGAGTGGCGTTGTCTTTAACGGCTTGTGACGTTGTGCCGATTTCTGTGTTTGGCAATGATTATGTCCCTACCAATGCCAAACCACCACACTCGCGTGTTTGCCCTTTCTTTGCACTTGGCAATTCCTTGGTGACCATGCTGGATATTATTGAGTATGATACCACGCATTTTCTTGGGAATCACTATTTTGTGGTTGTAAATCAATAATCGCTCGGCAACTGACAGATGTGCTTCGACACTGTGCAAGTCTTTTAGTTCTTCGGATATATCCTCTCTGTTTCAGAGATATTTTGGCCATCCATCGACTGTGTACTGTATTGCTTTCTGCATAACGTCATCTTCCTCTACGGCGCGCTTATTTTCTGTCATTCTATCGTATGAAACTAGCCACTGCTTGATAACTTCACACACGTATGAATCTATTTCATGGAATAGTTTCGTTTCTATCGAAACACAGGACTGTACGAGATGACGTGAAAGCGTGTCTGCTACTATAATATGCTTCTCGGGGATGTGTTCTGTGATTGGGTTATATCTCATCATGTGCATTAACAATCTTTGACATCTTAACGGAACAGTATTCAAATCTGATCCGTTTATCAGTGACACTAACGGTTTATGGTCTGTTTGTAGTCGAAAATGCTCAAGTCCGCATAGAAATCTGTCGAATTTCTCACAAGCGTATCTGCGGCAAGACACTTTTTATCTATTTGCGTGTATCTGGTTTTCGTAGGTAATAATGTACGCGAAGCAAAGGCTACCGGCTTCAAGTCTTTGCCATTCTGTTGTAATAAGACCGCTCCCAGTCCATAACTACTCGCGTCAGCTGATACCATTGTTGGCTTGCTGGGGTCGTAGTAAGCAAGAGTTGGCGCACTGGATATTATTAGTCCCCGTTCGGACGAAGTCCGAAAATGGGGACTTATAATTCGGCCTTTGTCTGTCTGTGTGTCCGTGCGTCCATCCTGGACCGATTCCGTTCATTTTTTGCATGTGCACACTCAATCATAAACATCACAATGCGTGTTGAAAATTACACTCTATCATAAACATCACAGGGAGTGTTGAAAATTACACTCTATCATAAACATCACAGGGAGTGTTGAAAATTACACTCTATCATAAACATCACAGGGAGTGTTGAAAATTACACTCTATCATAAACATCACAGGGAGTGTTGAAAATTACACTCAATCATAAACATCACAGGGAGTGTTGAAAATTACACTCTATCATAAACATCACAGGGAGTGTTGAAAATTACCTCATCATTAACATCACAGGGAGTGTTGAAAATTACACTCTATCATTAACATCACAGGGAGTGTTGAAAATTACCTTCAATCATAAACATCACAGGGAGTGTTGAAAATTACACTCTATCATAAACATCACAGGGAGTGTTGAAAATTACACTCTATCATAAACATCACAGGGAGTGTTGAAAATTACACTCAATCATAAACATCACAGGGAGTGTTGAAAATCACACTTCGTCATAAACATCACAGGAAGTCTCCTACACACAATCTCCACATTAGAATAGAATAGAATAGTGCTTTATTGACACTGTAAAGAAAATATTACATTTAGTTTTTGGTTATGTACATCAATAAAGTTGAAAAATTGAAATGTATATGTTATACAACATTTCTGCATCATTATGTTTACTTGAACATACCATTTTCATATCATCATCATCATCATTTTTACATGTTCACACCATCTACA